TTTCAAAAAAACACTATACTTAACAAATATTTCAATAAACTAAATGCAAATTTTAAATCTTACATTTTGTATCAACAAACAAATTATCAATCCTAATGATAACGTCAACATGATCCAAATGCGTTATGTTAAAATTTTTGCACCAGTAAAACATTTGGGAGAAAAAAAAATTATAACATTATCTTTGAACCGGAGAGTCATAAATCTAAAACGTGTTTGATCAAATGTAACCTATTGGCATATTTTTTTCAAAAGTATAGAAAATATTATAAAATAAGCACAACTAGTATATAATGTGGAGAGTAAACCTTAAACCGCCATTACAATCTCATTACATCCTTTTAAATACTTAATAATAGTTTTGAAATATTGTTATTATTTTCTGTGACTACCATAGCCCTAACATTTAAATCTAGCAACATTAACTAATAAAACTAACACAACCCTAACCCTGTCAATGATCATGTCCTTTAACCCTAACCCCTGACCCTCAGCCCGTGTAAAATATAATTTGTTAAAAAATATAATATGACTGCCATTTGCACTAATAACAACAACAAAAAAACTTAATTATAGCAGAGTAGGAGCCAAACAGCTATATTTGATAGCCGCCATAATATCGATTCTGTTACGATGCACTTGCGACAATCAGTAAAAAATATCAGCATATTAAATAAAACAAACTTAAAGTTAAATTTAAAAAAAACTACCGTTCCCTTAAAAAAATATAAAAGTATGAAGAGTTTATGTCTATGAATCGAAGAAAAAAAATTGTGACATGTTGGCGAATATAAGCACTTCACTATGTGTTAAAAAAGTAATTCTATATTTATTTTATTTTGACTTGAAATTAAAGTCTCTAGATAATTTATTAATAATCTTACACATTTTAAGTAAAATATATTTTTTATTAAGTAAATTAGAGGTAAGACGAATAGTGTGTTTTAAAGTAGAATAAAACCAAATAATTAACGAATTTTAATCAGAAACTTTATCTTTCATTTCAATTGATATATAAAAATAAATAGTACAACTAATATGGGATTAATTACTGTTGCTTGTTTTTATGTTACAAGAATTAAATTATTAAAAAAGTAATTAATTCTACGATAATTACTGGCAATTTCATAAAAACACCTTAACCAAAGAAAACAAAAAATCGCGCGACAAGAAAAGATTGCGTATGAAGGCGTGAAAAGTTTAAGCGTAAATGTAAAGTACAAATAAAACATTCGGGTACATAGTTGTGTCTTTTGTTTTAATCAAGCTTTGCTTCCATTTAATTAGTAGTATCACCACATAGTGTTTCATTTAATTATATATGATAAACACATTCAATAGATAGAACATCCTGCTCAATTGCATATCGTTTCATAAAGTTGTCTTATTTAGTAATAAAGATAAAAAAACTCATAAAACAATCAGTTATGACAGGCTATAAATAATTGTATTAACGAGAAATAGTACCTAATGTATAATACCTTTCTTTTTAACACAATATGTAGGCTATATATTACCATTTTCTCTTTTTTTCTCCTCAATGCGATAAAGATTAACAAAGTATCTAAATAAGATCATCTCTGCTGTTTAATGTTTATTTCTTTATCTGGACTTACAAATTTAAAAATCTGGATAATTGAATCAATATTAACCGTGTAAATTTTAGCTTAGTAATAAGACAATGTGTAGTGGCCTACCGTTTCTCTAATGCATGCCCCTCTGTGACACGAACGTAGCTGCCATAGTGCTCACGTGTGAGGGTGACATAGTGCTCACGTGTGAGTGTGTCATAGTGCTCACGTGTGAGGGTGCCAAAGTGCTCACGTGTGAGGGTGTCATAGTACTCACGTGTGAGGGTGTCATTGTACTCACGTGTGGGGGTGCCATAGTGCTCACGTGTGAGGGTGTCATAGTACTCACGTGTGAGGGTGCCATAGTGCTCACGTCTGAGGGTGTTCCTGGTAACCCGACCACTGTGATGACAGCGCATGCACCTGGTGCTTTAGGACCCTTGAGTCAAGTAGTACCAATGTCCACCCATGCAGGACACCCAATCAATAGATCCCAAGTGCTGAGATAGCCGCTGGGAAACTCTGTCAACTACCCTGCTACATGAGCGTGGCCATCCAAATGCAGAAACCTTCCCATGAGTATTCTCAAGAACTTTTCATGGCGAACGGATGAAATGTGTAATTGTGAAGAAAATGATAAAAGACAGACACATAGAAATATGTATTAACAGGCAAGCTAGACAAAAGTATATAACCAGGTAAGCTTGATTTGTGCAATGATTTATCGCTTTATGTTTATTTTAATGATTTTTTGTGTTTATATGATTAATTTAAAAAAAAATCATTTTTATAGATATATAATTATTTAGTATGTCTTACTTTAATAAATAATTAAGAGAATCAAGTGCTTGCTAGCTTGTGTTTAGTTAACATATATGTTGGGTATCGACTAGATGACGTACCAGAGATGGAGAATTGCTAGGGCGACCGTGATTGTCTCGAGCTCATAGAGATGGCAAATGGATTTTGTGGACTATTCTCAAGACATACAGATACTTTGCGGGGATCCAATCGCCTGGGCGTATTAATATAAAAACGTATACAAATATTTATATATATGATATATATATATTTATATATATATATATATATATATATATATATATATATATATATATATATATATATATATATATATATATATCTTAGCTATTAGTCACAGATATTTAAAATATTAAAGAACAATAATCATGTATAAACTGATGTGTTAAAAATAGGCGTATTAAGTAAACAAGTATAACCTTTCAGATGACAGTTTTACAACTAATCATGTCATAGAAAAGGCTGCACGGTTGATCAATCAAAAAACTAAGCAGCAGCTGAAACCTTTAAAGATGTATAATATCAAAATTAACTTTAAATTTTTTAACTGCGGTGATTATATTTATAATTCTTGAATATTCGGGTATCGTTTACTTAAAAACATTCAAAGTATCGATACAAATGTTTAATGTTTAAACGTTGATTTTATCAATAATTCTTTTATCTTCCAGGCATATGACTTTTGATCGATTTCTTATACATTTAAATGCTACTTCACATTATATCCTTGGTAATACTATATCTTGACTACATTTTCATTTATGTAGACGACATTTCATATTACCGGTTAAGATCTTATACTTGAATTAATTTTAATTTTTAAAATAATCGAATGGGGTAATTTACACATTGTATGATTTCTAAAATACCAATAACGTAAGTACTGATTCATTTAGGCAAATAAAATTTTACACATATGTGATACACCGCCAGGAAGGCCCAATCTACTGCTGGTGACACACCGCGTGGGTAATGTATGTGGCTCACAGTCGCCACCTAGGTAGAGGATGACACGGCTAACAGTTGATCGCTCTATCTACTGCTGGAGATGCTGACGTTATCTGCTGAACAGTTGACGTCAACTTGTATCTGAGTTAGACAGGCACATTTTGATACTCAAAAAACTGTTTCATCAAGAACGTTTCAATATTTGACAGCTTTGCGGTAAACGTTTAATAAAATAAATCTACAACTGTCACTGTTGAAAAACTCTACTTCACCTGTTCAATGTACAGTATACTCTGTAACGGTAACAATATGATGTCCGTATCTTATTTTCGAATTTAATTCGCTCTGTTATAAACCTTTTTTTTCTCCTAACAACATAAGAACTGCTTACCTTACAGGAACTGATGTAGGCTATAACATAGGAAAGTGATTTTAAAGATATGACTGCAAGCAACCGATCTTTATGCTAAAATTGACTTAATCTGAACCTAGAATGTGGACTATCATTCAAATATTTTAAACATGTATTTTGCCAGCTGAGTGGGGGGTGATAATTTTTTATTGTGTACCGATTCAATTAAATCAAACAGGGAAACAACTATGTAAATACTTGTCATTCAATCTTTATTTTATTGTTACTTCCCTTAGACCACAAAGTAGTTTTTTTTTCCAATTTAGAGATTGCATTAGTTATAGCTTAGCTTTGTCAAAGGATGTTTATTTTATATATTTGTTTTATCGTTTTAACCAAAGTATTTAACAAAGAGTAAACTCAAGAAACCGATATTGGCCATAATTGATCTTCATGCTATACTGAAAATGAATCGATATTTGAACACATTTGTGTTAAACATTGTGTTACATGCTATATTTAGATTGACCAACTTCTTTTAAGTTGCATATCATGCGGTCAATTCGGCAGAGAAAGTAGAATTGATGTGTTGGTGTTATACCCATGACTTATTACGTCATTGCGTCCACACAGAACACCCAGCCGAATTATGTTTCTCCAAACATGTCCAGGTACACATCAGATCTGTGCATCAAGAAAGGTAATCGAACATGGGAATTGAACTCGTGTCCTTGGGGACAAATGCGCTTTCTCTTTTACTCGACCATGTGGTCCCATTTCTCCAGTTGCTTATTAACGCCCTGCTTTACAGTTTTAAGTTTGAAAACTTTGATTCATTGTTATAAAGTCATACTAGTTGTTCTATCACTGCCGATCTATCAATTTGTTACACAAGTCGTTTTATAATATAACAATCATTTTGCTCAAAGATTTCTAGTCAAGGAGAATGACAACAATGTTTACACTAACGTCAGTCAATGACAGCATCAAACTACTATTTCACTTTATATTTCTATTGGAGCAGGTATAGAAGCGGCGAAGTATCTAAATATATTATGCAATGTGTCAAAAAATTTTCAATGATTAGAAATTCCATATTTTTTCTAATTATCTCATTGAAATTAGTCTAACAGGTATATTAGGCCTAAAAAATTGACTTTGCTGTAAAGCTTAAACTTACAACACATGGCAGCCTGGCGCGAAGCGAACATCGACATCACAACATGCGCTGTTTAACAACAACTCAAACATCAACAGACAACAAAGATTCAAATAACAACAGTAGAAAGATATTTTCTTTTACCATTTAATGTCGTTTAGTGTGAACATTTTGTAAACAAAAACAAACAGTTTGAATATGCGATTTAGCACGTCGGTTATATTTAATTCACAGGTAATAGACAGCCTATAGGTATATGACGACAAAAGTTATTAGCAAATTAGTTAAAACATTTGAAACAAAAAAAAAACTCTACAATCCATCAATGTACATTCAAATTAATTAGGTTAAACGGTTCACACCATTCAAAACATTTGTTTTAATCATTTAAATGTAATAACATGTTTACATGACATGCTAGTCTTAACATAAACAATTTAAAGACGGGATAGGTTCCGCCATTTTGTTTGTTTACATTGTGTAGACAAGGGGAGAGAACTAACAGTTACATCAGTCTCACCACCCCCCACTATAATTTCCTTCAGAGTTTGATCCACTGTGGGGATGGTAATACTTCCACCTGTCATATTCCAGCCTGTAGACAGCCGCTCCACTGGAGCCAGGACATGTACATGTTGTGTACCAGTACCTGGTGTTGCCATACCTCTGACATTTGCGTGTCCATCGTCCTACAGAGACCTGTTTAGGACAGCCATGAGGATGTGACACTATAACGGTCAACTTGTCCACATCAACAAAGCTCCTGTATTTGTCCCTTGCTTCCCCACGTAGATAATAAAAACGCTCACACATCTTGTCCAGTTTCTCAACCAACTCTAAGTCACATGTCACATATCTCAACAGACACCAGTCTTTCTCAATGTCCGCCCCACCCCTCACCTCCCAGCCATCAAGACTGACCACTGGACTTTTATTGTCATCAAAACCTAAAACACACCTGGTCTGTCTCGCCTCACTGTCATCAAACACCACGTGTGTGGCTGTTATCACAAGAACCTCTCCCCACACTTTGCTGGGTGTGGCAGAGACTTGACACTTGGCACAACAACAAGTTTTGTCTCTCTTTGTGTACTTGTCCACACACCACACTCTCCCCGTCCCTAACCTCATCACGTGACTTCCTCTGTCATTATAAAATGGATATGGAACTTGAGTACCTGGGTAAAACTCTGGTCTCTTTAGACTGGTGAATTTAGTCTTTACCTGGACAGTTAGGGCTGCCAATGTTTTGATTGTCTCAGACAAGAGGTCGTCGTCATGGTAACGCGAGGGGAGACAATTTGCGTTGAAATCTTTAAGAGGTATAAAACCTTTGTGACCTGGATTCTTCTTACAGCCAGTAACATGTTTGTGTAGATCAGCTTCTCCTCCATAGCACATCTCAGCTTCATGATTTCCTACAGAAACAAACAAAAATTATTTCTCTAGCAAAGACAATATTAGATTTAATGTTAAAAACTTTTTGTTTTAATAAGCTATAGTAAAGTCATCCAGATGTTCAAACTAGGGCATATATATTTCCTCTTACACTTTAATTTGCCTTAAATTTTAATGTATTTTACCTCGACAAAACACACTTTGTTGGTCAATCCTGATATTTTTATTTTGACTTTCACAGCATGCCAGATCTGAAAGCAGTGTATGAGAATGATAAGTTTTCACAAACGGTAATACGCAATGACATAATTACATTTAAAACAGGGGCTATTTAAAATGCAGATACCTACAATTAAATGCCATTTAAATAATAGAAAAGTATGTACATTTTACAGACATATTTCCACATTTTGATTATCTGCTTTGTCTTTAATATTTAATCAACTATTGGTTAATATGTTGTTAATATTTGTTTTTATCGGCCAATGTGAAGAAAGGCCTCTCTACCTAATGCTAATGTTTTTAAATAAAGCTATAATTAATATTATTACATTTATTTTAACATTAGGCAAATGATTTAACTGTACAGCTTGATAAGCAATAACAGATGATTTCAGAATTGTAAAATAAATTACCTGACCATTTTTAAGTGAATTTAAAGTCAACTTTTTTCTTACCTGAACTTGAAGACTCCTGTTTTCTTTTTGGCATTCTGTAGGAATTACCAATGGCCAATGCTGCTGTAATATACATTAAGTAACATTATATACCAGTAATAATTTTAAAAATTCTACAAACATCTTAGGGTTTGTATTAATTATAAGAAAGTTATATTTATAGGAGATAAAAAAAGGAAGTTTCTAAATTTTTCAACACTTACAATGTGGAGACTCTTAAATGATTCAGCTTGAGCCTTGAATACACCACACACCTTTCTGTTCTCAAATAAATGTTGTTGGAATAAACTGAAAGCTATGAAACCTTGTAATCATGCTCTGTAAAATACACCAAAGTTTAACATCATAATTTTTATAATACATATATATTACATGATGATAATAAAATAGGCCTAAACATTTTACATTAATATTGATTAGAGTGTGGTGATAAAAGAAAATCACAAGAGTTGCTGATTTTTGTTATAAAATTTATGTTAACAAATAAGCTATACTATATACTTGTGTTTGTTTAAAATATAATACCAAAAATTAAAATAAATTTAATTATGAAGCATTTATCAACATTATTATCATAATTCAAAAAATTAATGGCTTACAATATTTACACAGCTCAACCACTTTAATGTTGTCCTTAAAATAAATACAACCTCTTTTCTTGATAGGAAGGAATGGCATTGAACACACAGCAGCAGACAAAACTTCAAAACATGAAAGCATACAATTAAGGTTAGATAAACACATAGACCCTTTAAACCTTTAAAGTATTATGAAGTAAATAAAGACATGCAATTAACTTAAGAATGTGTTAAGAAATATAACACCTTTGGCCTTTACTTATACAAGTAGTTATTCCATTATATATCAATGGCTGCTGACCGAAAAGTCTCGAGTTCAAATCCGCGTCGAAGTCAAAACAAGTAAAACTACGAATAAGCACTCTCTTATAGAATGCTGAACTCGATTAATCTAGATTAGAAATTAGATTTGTTACAATGTTTCAAGTTTAGTCGTTCAAAATGTAAATTCTATATTCTAGAAGGCCTACTTAGTAGAGTAGAGTACTATGATGAGATCTAGATCTAGTCTAGATCTAAATCTAGTCTAGATCTATACAGTTTATTAAATTAGTTGTCTCTAGACTTTGAAGTTCAAACCTAGACTCAAGTAATGATTAGATCTAGATCTAGTTTTAAAAGAAGTTTTATTTAAACTTTAAACCAGAAATCGTAGAGAGACATAACATCATTACTCTTCTCTTACTCTAGGCTAGGAGTCTTGAGTAGTCTAGCCTAGATCTAGGATCTCTGTCTCTAGATCTAGATTATCTCTAGTCTAGTCCTATCGAGATAGTATCTACTATCTAGTTCTATATAATTTAGTAGATTCTAGATCTAGATCTAGATTCTAGATGCAGGCCTGGACTTCAAAATCTAGTTTTCAAGTAAGATTTAGATTTTAGATTTCTAGATTCTCTATATACTATATTATATAGTATATAGATCTAGATCTAGATCTACATCTAGATCTAACTAGAATCTATAAATGTAGATAAAGTGTAGATCCTTAATCGTTTTGCATTTTACATCTAGATCTAACTACTATCTAATTAATTAATATTTAATATGTTATTGCTAACTCTAAGACGTGTAGGCCAACCCGACCAGTTTGGCAGTTTGCTAATGAAAAGACGCGAAATGATCGTCTGCTGTAAAACTGCTTTTTGGAGTATCGATATCATAATTTAGCGACCAACTTGCCATTTAGGCCATAAGCCTAAGTTAGAGAAATTATGCTATTTTACCGGGATTATTAAAAACAAGGTAATAAAAAGTCTAGTGACAATTTTAGCGCAATTTCCTTATGTTATCTAAACATAGCTCTGTCTTAGCGTAAATCAAGAGCAAATTCAAATTCAAATTCAAATTTATTCAAACAACGGTTACAATTGTAGGCACAAAGGCCTTTTTTTCACATTGGCCGTTTAAACAAATAAAACAATTCAATAACACATAGCAGTAACATAGCATTAAAAATGTGGAATAAAGAAACTATGTTACATAGTTATCATACATAATGAGATAAAAAAGAGAATATAATAGATGAATGAGAAATGTTACAATGAGTCAGTTAGGTCATTAAATAATTTTAGTTTTAGTTTAGATTTGAATATATTTTCAGATCTAGATAGCTTTATTTTATTAGGAAGATTGATCCACAAATTAGAACCAGAGTAGGCGAAGCTATGTTTTTGGAAAAAAGTTGAATATGGGAATGGTAAATTAAGACGACGATTTAATTTTATGTTAAAAGAAAATAGATCTGATAAGTAAGAGGGGGCTGTTTCGTGGAATATTTTATAGACTCTATAAGAAAATTAATTTAGTATATATTATCTTTTTATTTAATGGAAGTACTTTAGTTGTAAGAAAAGAATTAGTAAAACCATTGGTTAGTTATTAACAGTGTTTCTTCCAGACTTTTTTCTCCGGGGGGCACTTGAAATTTTCGGGGGGGGGGGGGGCGGTAAACTTTCTTCGTGGGGGGGCGGACACTGTTAAAAGTATATATTTTCTATATAAATTATATAAATTTCATTTCGTTCGGGGGGGAGGGGGGGGCGGTAAAAAAATTTCGGGGGGGGGGGGGGGGGGCAAAAAGCTCATGGTTGAAAAATTCGAACAAAGTTTCGAGTTCAAACCCACTGGCAGATAAATCTCGATTCCCTTCAACACTAATAATTAAGAACGAAGAAGAAGACTGACCTTTGGCAACATTTTTGTAAAGTTATACACAATTTTACTCTAGAACAAGTCCCGTAATTCCATCTTAGCCCCCCCCCCCCACACACACATATTGTATAACAATCCTAAAAACACTGTTACCGTTTAACAAAACGCACGGGGAGTGGGGGTGGGGGTAAATATAGAGCAAAAGTTAAGTTTCTGTGGTGGGGGTTGGGGTGTTATATTTTTAAATATGTAATTTTTGTGTATGCAGATTTAATAATGTTTAAAAAGTTAAATTCACAGCTAAATCCTATGTGTGCAGATAGGTCGAAGCTTAATGATAGCTGTTTAATTTTTATTACTTAGTTAATTTAATGGGTATACGTGTATACCAGTAAAATAATAAAATAATACACACATTTCTTTATATCTCTTACGTTATTTTAATCATCTGCATATGAATAATATATTCAACTTTAATATTATCTTCTGCATGTGTATGTATATATATATATATATATATATATATATATATATATATATATATATATATATATATATATATATATATAAATGTTATTGTTTCTAGTGGTTAAAAAACATCTGTAATAAATTTGCGTCAGAACGTCCTTATTTCCTTTAAAAACCACACACACATTTAATCCACCCCATGTGAACTCTATTCTTCCGCAAAAAATAACTAGTCACAAACGAGTTAAATTTTTCAGCGCCCCAAAAAATCAGTAACTACCCACCCCACACCCACCCAATTCAAACAGCCATTCAGCTGCCTACCGGCAAATGCTAGCTAAAAATGAAGTCTATATGTTAATATATTAACCACGGACGATATATGGATGATAGATGTATAATTTTTAGTTGACTTAATTTATTAAGAATAAATCAAATAATAATATTTCAGTTCATATTATTTAATGTGTCACAGAGAAAATGGGAAGGCAAACAGAGCAACGTTTAGAGTGTGTGGTGCAGGGGCGGAACTACAGTGCCGCCAGACCCCGCAATGCGGGGGGGCCCACGACGTTTAGGGGCCCAATTCCGACCAAAAAAACAATGAATTTTCTTTTCATAAATAATGTTTTTCGTGCACCTTGATAGTGGTTTTGTAAAAAACAAACAGGTCTACTATAGCAGTGATTGTTCTACAGTAACTAACACACACTGTTGCGTAGAAAAATATAAAATCTACAAGAGCTCTGCTTTGAAAGATAGGCAAACGTTCATACTACTTCCATGACTTACTGCCCTTCATTAAAACACAAGGGCCCATAAAGCTCATTTAAATAGTTTTGTACTATGTAAATTAAAGAGCCATTTATTCTCTTATTTATTATTTAAATGAGGCATACTAAAGAATTCTATAGCTATAAAAATGAATGTATTCAAAACTAATAATATAAATACAAAAAATCATAAAAATAAACATAACGCGAGAAACCATTGCAAAATCAAGCTTACGTGTTTATATAATTTTGACCAGCCAACATTATTGTGGCAATTTTCGGTAACCATAAAACGTAATACAAACATTTGTAAAACACGATTATTACGGGCCCGAAATGAGTTAGGACTTATTGTTGACTTTGTTATCTGGTTCGTTATCTCAGAGTGGTTATACATTGCTATAAAATTGATTAAAATACTCAGGTAATAGACTATTTAAAATTTAGAGGAGCGGGCTACTTATATATATATGTATGTATGTATATATATATATGTATGTATATATATATATATATATATATATATGTATATATATATATATATATATATATATATATATATATATATATATATATATATATATATATATATATATATATATATATATATATATATATATTTATTTATTTATTTATTTATTTATATATATACACACACACATATATATATATATATATACATATATATATATACATATATATATATACATATAGGGGGGGGGGCCAAAAATTTTTTTTGCGGGGGAGCCTTTTTTTTCTAGTTCCGCCACTGGTGTGGTGAGGGGTGGGGGGGGGGGGGCTGAATATAAATTAATTTTGTATATAGATATATATTAATATAGATTAATTTTCAAAAAAAAAATTTGTCCCATATTTTTAACGATTTTTTTTTATTTATGAAGCAAAATATTAAATCTGCTTTTTTGTATTCTTTTTAAAAAGTTGAAAAAAAAATGTAGCAAAGTTGAATTCCTTTGGTGCAGATTGGTCGAAGTTTCATGATAGGCTTTCAATTTTCTTTACTTAGTCGTTATAAAATGTATAAGATTGACTAATATTATTTCTATCAGAAAAATTATACGCACATTTATTTTTATATCGGTTACTTTTTAATAATTTGCATACTTATTTTCTTATAACACATACTGCCATACTAAGACACATTTGTTTTTAAATTCATCTATAATTTACAATCAAATCAACTAAATTAATAAAACTAGGTACAGAAATAAGTAGCCTACATACCCTCAGCAACAGTTCGTATAGGACTATGGCGGATTCCTCATAGTGTTTTTTTAGTGCCACGTAAACTCCGTAATCTTAGGTTTTCCCGATCTTATTTAATATGTCTTAGACATTCCCGTTTGGCCAGTACCTTATGAACATTCGCACATTTGCGAAACAATAAACAATATAACTAAAATCAGTTATTTAAAAAATAAACAGTTTGAAAATATTTTTTACGATTATATTTATGATTTAGGTTAAATCTCCATTCTTATTTGTATTATTAATAAAACATAATAAGAACAATCCGTGGTTTGAAAACACTATTGAGTTTTCTTTACAAACCAACACTATTTATATGCAAAACTTTTTTAGCCCATGCCCCACATATTTATAGGCCTATATATATATATATATATATATATATATATATATATATATATATATATATATATATATATATATATATAAATATATATATATAATATATATACAAACACAGAATACGAACATAGGATACTCTATGTTAGAGGACGACTAAGGGACTACACTACTGTTTCATTTAGGAGTTTTCTCCCCTTGATAGGTTGCTGTTCCTAGTTTACAACCCGCATCTGCCAGAGGGGTTAGAACTGATTTGTGTAAATGTAAACAATAGCGATGGTATATCTTAGTTTAAAGGGTCGGGGGTTGATCATACTTACGCCAGCACATACTAGTGAGGTAAATCATCTTGCCGAGACACACGTAATAGTGAAATATATCATCTATTCTAGAAGAACGAGTGTAACATTAAGGTAGATCATCTTTATGACATACATGAAATAGTGAGGTAGATCATCTTTATGACATACATGAAATAGTGAGGTAGATCATCTTTATGACATACATGAAATAGTGAGGTAGATCATTTTTATGACATACATGAAATAGTGAGGTAGATAATCTTTATGACATACATGAAATAGTGAGGTAGATCATCTCTATGACATACATGAAATAGTGAGGTAGATCATCTGAAAGACACGAGTGTAACAGTGAAGCAGATCATCTCGACGACACGAATATAATAATGAGGTAGATCATCTCTACAGCCACAGGTATCTAGTTCGTCAATGGGCACCCTCATGAGCCTTCGTTGATATTGCCGCATGGGTGCCGGGTCCGTCCCCTGGTACGAATAAGTCATCACATGTAGTATCCCACCGTGTCCATGATGTAGTGTGCTCTTTAAAACAAATGTATAAGCCTTAGTGATCGTTAGAAAGCACGGGACGCTCCAGGTCATACCACCGTTAGAGTTACAACTGACGCGCCAGATTCGGTTATCGAATGTACTGTCACACCATGTCCTTAATGCATGGCAGTCTCTGACACGAGCGTAGCTATCATAGTGCTCAAGTAAAATCCCGACTGAATATTTTATTAATACTTTACACTTCAGTAAGAATGTTTCACACCATCACACACAAAATTTTATTTTCGTGCGAATTAACTAGTTCTAAATTTTTTATGAAGTTAATCCACGCAATCAGCATTCAAGTAACAATGTTTTAAAATTAAAAACATTTATTTTCCAAAATATTTTTTTTAGTAAAACAACAAACGTAAATTGTAAATATAATCGTATTGTTTATTGTATATGAAAAATAAAAAAAATTAAATTGTTATAAAATTATTTTTAAGACATTATGTTTTATTCTGTTAAACTATACGTTTCTTAAAGCATATTCACTACATTTATAGCAAATTTTATTTGATATTTTGCAGAATGTTTTCGAAAATCAATTATCTAGAGACTTGAAAAATTCAAGTCGAATAAAATATAAAAAAAAATTATTAGGTAAACAGAATACAAATACAATACGAGCTTAAAACAAAATGAAGAAGTAAGATAAAGAAAAATTGCCAAATTGTACATGTAGATAAGTGAATCTCGGAGATTGTATAAATACGTGTATCTTTAGAAACTATCCCAGGATTCCCCTCTTAATGTCCAGACTTGGAGGGATAAAATAGAAATAAAAACTCTCAGGTTTGTAACAGCCATCAGAATCTCAACGGTTTCAGAATGTTGTTCTAAAAAATTAAAGGTTGTATTTAAATAGTAAGTATTTGACGTGACATTTTTACCAAATTATAAAATATGCAATTGAACAATAAATTCAATAAAGTGAACACATCTTTTAATACATAGAAGACTGTAATTAAAAGAGTAACGTTGGTGTAGAACTGAGAACAACATTATTATAGATACAGATGTCACAAAAATAGTTTAGCTACTCATCTTAGATTCAATACTTACTTGAATAAACAGAAAGCAATAGGTAAATTAAATAAATATGAAGATAGTCTACTAGATCATTGGATGATAGATCAATAAAAGTCCAAGCACCAAATGGACACGACGTTAAATACAGTTTGGAATGAAAAGTGTCGCACTAGTAGCCTTAAGGAAACCAATGTTGGTAAACCTATCACCTAAAGAGCTCCACTCCTGTTTCATTTAGAAGTTGTCTTAGATAGGTCGCTGATCCCAGTTTACAAGCTTCACCTGCCCGCGTTGTGTTGGGGTGGGGGTTCAAATTATTTGTGTAAATGTAAGTGAATCCGTCGTTATATATCTTAGATCCGTGTTGTAATGGCGAGGGTACACCAAAATATCGCCTGAATATAATAGTAAGGTATATCATCTCAATGACCTAAGCGTAATGGTGAGGTTTATTATATCGACGACCAGAATGTAATAGTGATGTAGATAATGTCGACGCCCAGAGTGTAATAGTGGGGTACATCATCACAACGACATACATGTAATAGAGAGATGGATAATTTAGACTACCAGAATATAAAAATGAGGTAGATTATCTCTACGACCTGAATGTAATAATGAGGTAGATCATCTCTACAGCCACAGGTATCTAGTTCGACAATTGGCCCTCTCATAAGCCTTCGTTGATATTGCCGCATGGGTGCCGGGTCCGTCCCCTGGTACGGGTAAGTCATCACATGTAGTGTCCCACCGTGTCCATGATGTAGTGTGCTCTTTAAAATAAATGTATAAGCCTTAGTGCTCGTTAGAGAGCACGGACAGTCCAGTTCATACCACCGTTAGAGTTATAATTGACGCGCCTGATTCGGTTATCGAATGTAGTGTCCCACCGTGTCCCTAATGCATGGCAGTCTCTAACACGAACGTAGCTATCATAGTGCTCAAGTAAAATCCCGACTGAATATTTTGTTAATGCTTTACATTTCAGTAAGAATGTTTCACACGCAAAATTTTATTTTATTTTCGTGCGAATTAACTAGTTCTAAATTTTTATGAAGTTAATCCACGCTATCAGCATTTAAGGAACAATGTTTTAAATTAAAAACATTTATTTTCCATAATATTTTTTTAGTAAAATGACAAACGTTAATTGTAAATATAATTGTATTGTTTGTTTTATATGAAAAATAAAACAATCAAATTGTTATAAAATTATTTTTAAGACATTATGTTTTATTCTGTTAAACTGTACGTTTCTTAAAACATTTTCACTACATTTATAGCAATTTTATTTTACTTTTAGCAGAATGTTTTCGAAAATCAATTATCTAGAGACTTGAAAATTCAAGTAGAATAAAATATTTAAAAAATCATTAGGTAAAAACAACATACACATACAATTTAGATAAATTTGTATCTACTTACCAGCTTAAAACAAAATGAAGAAGTAAGATAAAGCAAAATTGCCGAATTATACGCGTAGATAAAAGAATCTCGGATATTGTATAAATATGTGTATCTTTAGAAACTATCCCAGCTTCCCATCAAAATGTTACAGACTTGTGGGATGAAACAGAACTAAAAACTCTCAGGTTTGTTTACAGCCATCAGAATCTCAACGGTTTCAGAATGTTGTTCTAAAAAATTTAAAGGTCGTATTTACATAGTGAGTATTTGACTTGACATTTTTACCAAATTATAACATATGCAATTAAACAATGAATTCAATAAAGAGAACCAAACTTTTGATACATAGAAGACTGTAATTAAAAGATTTACGTCTGTGTAGAACAGATAACATTATTATAGATACAGACGTCACAAATATAGCTTAGGTACTCATATTGAATTCATTACTTACTTGAATAAACAGAAAGCAATAGGTAAATGAAAGAAATATGTAGATAGTCTACTAGACCAATTTATGATAGATCAATGAAAGTCCAAGCGCCAAAAGAACAGGACGTTAACTACAGTTTGGAATGAAAAGTGTCGCAGTAGTAGCCTTAAGGAAACCAAAGTTGGTAATCCTATCGCCTTAGGGGCTCCACTCCTGTTTCATTTAGAAGTTGTCTTAGATAGGTCGCTGATCCCAGTTTACAAGTCTCATCTTCCCGCGGGGTGAGGGGGTGGGGGTTCAACTGATTTGTGTAAATGTAAACGAATCCTTCGCTATATATCTTAGATCCGTGTTGTAATGGCAAGGGTACACCAAAATATCGCCTGAATATAATAGTAAGTTAGATAATCTCAATGACCTAAGGTTAATGGTGAGGTATATCATATCGACGACCAGAATGTAATACTGAGGTAGATAATGTCGACGTCCAAAGTGTAATAGTGAAGTACATCATCTCAACGACATACATGTAATAGAGAGGTGGATAATTTCGACTACTAGAATATAATAATGAGTTAGATTATCTATTCGAACTGAATGTAATAGTGAGGTAGATCATCTCTACAGCCAAAGGTATCTAGTTCGTCATTGGCGCCCTCATGAGTCTTCGTTGATATTGCCGCTTGGGTGCCGTATTCGTCCCCTAGTTCTGATAAGTCATCACATGTAGTGTCCCTCTGTGTCAATGATGTAGCGTGCTCTTTAAAAGAAATGTATAAGCCTTAGTGCTTATTACAGAGCACGGGACGCTCCAGGGCATACAACCGTTAGAGTTACAACTGACGCGCCTGATTCGGTTATCGCAAGTAGTGTCACACCGTGTCCCTAATGCATGGCAGTCTCTGACACGAACGCAGCTACCATAGTGC